GATAGAAGACGATGACAACAGTCGACGTCGCCGATCGACGAACGACGGCGACGACGACGACGGCCACGCCGACGGCGGCGACGCTGTCCGCGTGCGCAAAGCCACCCTGGAACCAGTCTTTTCGGCATCGTTCGAAACCCTGTCCCCGGAAGCGTCTCCGGGAACATGATTTCAGGAGGAGGAGGAGGAAGAGGAAGAGGAGGCAGATTAGGAGGAGGAGGAGGAAGAGGAGGAGGAGAGGAGGATGAGTGGGCGGGAGGGCTCGGGGCCGATCGACGATCGGCGACGGTGATCGGCGACGGTGATTGACGATGACGACGACGGTCGTCGACGGCGACGACCGACGACGACGACGACGACGATGGACGACGATGACAACAGTTGACGCCGCCGATCGGCGAACGGCGACGACGATGACGTCTTCACAGTGCCACCCCGAGGAGCCCCAAGACGGCCCAAGAGGGACCCAAGATGACCCAGGATAGCTACAAGCCAGCCCAAGAGAGCCCCAAAAGGCACCCAACAGAGCCACAACGGGGGCAAGCAGAGCTGCCTATAGAGATTCTCGGGAGGCCTCTTCCGCAGCGTCCGAAATCATGTTCCCCGGAGCCCCTATAGGAACATGATTTCGGGGTTCCCAGGACGCCCAAGGGGGCCCTAAGACGGCCCCGACAAGTCCCCAAAAGGACGCTCGAGAAAACCCGGAGGGGCACAGTTCGTTGATTTCCGCGACATGTGGTTGGATCTCTTGCACGCGGAGGCGGTGGAGGAGGAGGGGGAGGAACAGGAAAGGAGGAAGAGGAGATGGGCGAGGAGGAGGGGGAGGAGGATGAGGAGGACGAGGGGGGGAGGAGGGGGGTGGAGAGGGAAGGGGGCGGAGAGGGGGGAGGGGAAGAGGGATGATGATGATATTGATGATGATGATGATGATGATGAATTGAATGATATGCTGATGATGATGGTGATGATGATGACGGGGAGGAGGGGGGGGGGGAGGAAGAGGAGCAGGGAGGAGGATGGGGCGGAGGAGGAGGAGGGGAGGCGGAGGACGAGGAGGGGGGGGAGGAGGAGGGGGAAGAGGAGGAGGAGGAGGAGGATGAGGAGGAGGAGGAGGAGGAGGAGAGGAGGAGGAGAGGAGGAGGAGGAGGAGGAGAAGACGAGAGGAGGGAGAGGAGGAGCAGGAGGAGGGGGGGAGGATGTGGAGGAAGAGGAGAAAAGGAGGAGGAAGAGCAAGAGGGAGGCCTCCCCCGAGTGTTCCATGTATCCGATGTGGCCCAATGCTTGCGCGGCGTCGCACTGCCGTTTGGCGAGCCATGTAGTCCGAACAGGAGGAGGAGGAGCAGGAAAAGGAGGAGTGAGAGGAGGAGGAGGGGGAAGGAGGAGGAGGAGGAGGAGGACGAGGAGGAGGCGGAGGAGAGAGGAGGAGAAGAGGAGGAGGAGGAAAGGAGGAGGGAAAGAGGGAGGAAGGAGGAGGAGCAGGAGGAACATGATGAAGATGGTGATATGGTGCATGGTGATGATGATGATGATGACTGATGATGATGATTGAGGAGGAGAGGAGGAGAGGAGGACGAGAGGATAGAGGTTGGAGAGGAGGGGAGGAGGGGAAGGAGGAGGAGGAGGAAAGGTGGAGTGGAGAGGAGGAAGAGAGGGGGAGACGAAGCAGGGAAGAAGGAGAAAGGGTGAGAGAGAGGGAAGAGGAGGAGGGGAGGAAGGGGCGAGGAGGAGGAAGGGGGAGGGGGGCGAGGGGAAGAGGCAGGAAGGAGGAAGGAGGAAGAGCAGGGGAAAGAGGAGGACGAGGAAGAGGTGTCGTTTTCGGCTGCCTCGGGCCGCCTGGGGGTGAGGAGCGCCCAAAGGCTCTTCGAACCGCGACCACGAAACTCGACGAATAACCGAAGTGCATTCAGCCTTCAACCTCCTCGTCCGTTGTTTGGCCGTTGCCCCGGGCGAAGCTAGAACCTAAGCGCGCGCGTAGCGCGCGCGTGGTTCTTGTTTATATATATATATATATATATATATATACACACACACACACAACGGCGCACCGGGTCCAGGCGCCCGGGGCCGGCGCCGCTACCGCAAATGGGCTCTGGGGCCCTCGGGGAGCCCCGGGGATTCACAGAAAACCGCCAGAGGGGGCCAAGGAGGCCCCAAGAGGCTCCAGAACAGATCCGGGGCGCCCGAAGGTCGCTCCCAGACGCCCAACATGGCCTCCAAGGCGGCTTCAAAAACCCTTGCAAGACACCCCCAAGCGACCCCCAATAGGGCCCCAAACAGAGCCCCAAGGGGCCAAAATAGACCCATTCCCTTTTGTAAAATGTATATTTTTAACATATCGTTTGTTTTCGCATTCGGTCCGTGCTTGACGACCTCAGAAGCTCCCAAGACCGCCCCAATACATCCCAGGACGCGCCCCAGAGGGCCCCAATACAGCCCCAGAAAGCTCCAGGACGGCCCACGAAGGGCCCAAAACGGCCCAAGAGAGTCCCCAAGACGGGCCCGAGAGGGCCCCAGAGGAGGAAAACCATCGAATTCCAAGCTTTCGACCCCAAGTGGCTCCAGGAGGCGCCGAGAAGCCCCCAAAAAACGCCCGGAAAGCTCCCAAAAACACCCCAAGACGTTCCAAAAGGCACCCCAAGAGAGCTCCAAGAAGCACAAATCGTCCCATTCCTGTAGGGAAACGTATATTTTTCGTGTGTTCGCCTGTTGGGCTGTCATCGCGCCCAAGACGGCCCAAGGGGTTCCCAAGACGGCATATATATATATATATATATATATATATATAATAGATATATATATTATATATATATATATATTATATATACATATACGGCGCACCGGGTCCGGGGGCCCGGGGCCGGGACCTCGACCACAAATGTGCACCCCGGGGGGCCCGGAGGCTCGTCGGGGCTTGCCGGAGGCCTCCCCGGTCAGACAAGACGGCCCCAGGAGCGCCCAAGACGGCCCAAGAAACTTCCAAAAGGCCTCCAAGAGGGCTCCGAGATGCTGAAGATGGCCTCCAGACGTCCAAGGACGCCCCCAAGAGGCCCCAAGAAGCCTCCAACATGCGTCCCAAGAGGGCCCCTCGACGCAAAAATTGGCCCATTCCCTTCGTAAAACGTACATTTTTCAACAAAGTTGCTTTTTGGGCTTTCCGACGTTACAGGACGGCCCAAGAGGCGCCCAAGACCGCCCCAAGACGGCCCAAGAAGCCCCCAGGACAGCCCAAGAGGGCCCCAAGACGGCCCAAGAGGCGCCCAAGATGGCCCAAGAGGGCCCCAAGACGGGCCCGAGAGGGGGCCCAGAGGGGGACCACGAACCGCAAGCTCGAGCCTTCCGCCCCAAGAGGCCGCCAGGAGGCCCCCAGGAGGCCCCTCAAGAGGCCCCAGGAGACCCCAGACGTCCAAGGACGCCCCCAAGACGCCCCAAGAAGCCTCCAACATGCGTCCCAAGAGGGCCCCTAGACGCAAAAGTTGGCCCATTCCCTTCGTAAAACGTACATGTTCAACAAAGTTGCCTTTTGGGCTTTCCGACGTTACAGGACGGCCCAAGAGGCGCCCAAGACCGCCCCAAGACGGCCCAAGAAGCTTCCAAGAGGGCCCCAGGACAGCCCAAGAGGGCCCCAAGACGGCCCAAGAGGCGCCCAAGATGGCCCAAGAGGGCCCCAAGACGGGCCCAAGAGGGGGCCCAGAGGGGGACCACGAACCGCAAGCTCGAGCCTTCCGCCCCAAGAGGCCGCCAGGAGGCCCCCAGGAGGCCCCTCAAGAGGCCCCAGGAGACCCCAGACGTCCAAGGACGCCCCCAAGAGGCCCCAAGAAGCCTCCAACATGCGTCCCAAGAGGGCCCCTAGACGCAAAAATTGGCCCATTCCCTTCGTAAAACGTACATTTTCAACAAAGTTGTCTTTTGGGCTTTCCGACGTTACAGGACGGCCCAAGAGGCGCCCAAGACCGCCCCAAGACGGCCCAAGAAGCTTCCAAGAGGGCCCCAGGACAGCCCAAGAGGGCCCCAAGACGGCCCAAGAGGCGCCTAAGATGGCCCAAGAGGGCCCCAAGACGGGCCCAAGAGGGGACCCAGAGGGGGACCACGAACCGCAAGCTCGAGCCTTCCACCCCAAGAGGCCGCCAGGAGGCCCCCAGGAGGCCCCTCAAGAGGCCCCAGGAAACCCCAGACGTCCAAGGACGCCCCCAAGACGCCCCAAGAAGCCTCCAACATGCGTCCCAAGAGGGCCCCCAGACGCAAAAGTTGGCCCATTCCCTTCGTAAAACGTGCATGTTCAACAAAGTTGTCTTTTGGGCTTTCCGACGTTACAGGGCGGCCCAAGAGGCGCCCAAGACCGCCCCAAGACGGCCCAAGAAGCTTCCAAGAGGGCCCCAGGACAGCCCAAGAGGGCCCCAAGACGGCCCAAGAGGCGCCCAAGATGGCCCAAGAGGGCCCCAAGACGGGCCCAAGAGGGGGCCCAGAGGGGGACCACGAACCGCAAGCTCGAGCCTTCCGCCCCAAGAGGCCGCCAGGAGGCCCCCAGGAGGCCCCTCAAGAGGCCCCAGGAGACCCCAGACGTCCAAGGACGCCCCCACGACGCTTCGCGTCACCAATTTCTTCTCACAACGATTCCTGGGTCTGTGACTCGACAGAACCTAAGCGCGCGCGAAGCGCGCGCGTGGTTCTAGTATATATGTATGACACATATTATTTTTCATACTTTGAAAGAAGCAAGCTATAAAACAACAGTTATTTTACAATGCGGGCGGTGCCAGAAGCTGCGGTCGCGCCAACTTTTTCGGGCGCATGTCGGTCACCAGCGACGGGCGCCTACAGGGCCATCGACAACTGGTTGACCTCGCCCGTCTTTATCAGAGCCTGCGGAGTGCCACGCGTGATCGACCTGTGGGCTCCGAGGCCCCACTGCCCTGCGCGACTGGACGTGGCCGCGAAGCCAAGGGTGGCCATGCAGATCCACCTGCGCGAGCCCAGGCCGTTCCCGCTATTGGCCCCGCGCCATGCTGTGGCCAGCCCAGTTCTTGGACTTCCTCAACAGCAGCCTTATCTGGAAGCTGTGCGCCATGGCGCACCTCGTGATCGCCCTCGGGCTGATGCTCAGGTTCAGGCAGGATGACCTGCGTGCCAACTTCATCACCTCCGTGGGGCAGCACCTCTGCCGCGTTTGCCAGGTCGATGAGCCTGACAGATACGGCGTTGCGGCAGGGCGAGCAGGCCAGCTTGCGCGCGGCGCCTCGTCGGCGGCCCCATCTCGAAGGGCGCCCCCGCAGCCGGCTCGGGCGCCCGGTGCATTCGCGACGTGGCGATTGCATTCCAGGACTTGACCATGATGCTGGAGCGCGACCTGGCGCGCGGGACCATTGGAATCTCCGCGGCAGCCAGGGCGCGCGGGGCCGCTGAGACCCCCGTGACAGCCAGGGCGCGCGGGGCCGCTGCAATCCCCGTGGTCGCCGGGGCAGATTGCGCGGGATGGAGTCGCATTACAAGGGCACCCCGACCTGGGCATTGGCATGATATGCGTTCGCGTGAGGGCATTGTGCTCTATGAATCGTCGCTGCAAGTATTGCGCTTCGCATGTGGATCGTGCCGCCCGCGTAGCATTGTGGCAATTCAAGGCTGTCGCCCCGCTGTTCCAGGCGCGCGCGCGCCACCTGGCGCTCCCGCCCCCGTGGCCATTAGCTGGCCGGAAACCGCGGGTCGTGGCCTTGCTGACCAAGCCCTCGCCGACCAGTGCCTCGACAGCCTTCGCGTCTCTCCCGGGTCGTCGGCGCGGTCCCGGGCGCTGCGGGCGCGCCCCTTCCAGAGTGCGCCCCTATTTCTGGCTTCTGCGCTGCGCGGGGGTCGCGTGATGATGGCTACGTGGCCCCCGCTGTTCCTCCCTGTCCTGCGATCCCCTCCTTGTCCTGCCGGGCTTGAAGAAGAGGACTATGTCGAAGAAGATGAAGGGCTTCCTTGCGCGTTTGGGCGCGATCGCGCCCCCGATGTTAGAGGTCTGCAGGAAGCGTTCCGCCACCTGGCCCAGGAGCTGCGCGAGGGCGGCCCCCCGCCGTGTCCGGGGCCCCTCAGTCGCCGCGCGGTGTCAGAGGTCATCGTAGTCCGCCCTGTCCCGTTAAGTTCCGTTGGACTTATCAATTTTCTGCGGGGTCGCCCGGCAGGTCGCCGGCGCCCCCGCCGTTTTCCTCGAGCAACGGGGCGCCGAGGGCGGCTGCTTGCCAGAGCAGTTCGGGGTCAGCTCTTGCGCGCTAAGCCCGGCGTGTGTCCTCGACGTAGTCCGCTCTCATGGTCCTGCCTGGTTGGTCACGGCACTCGCGGATTGTTTCAGCCTGCTCCGCAGCGAGGAGGCCGGCGCTTGCAAGTTGGTCGAAGGGCCCAAGCCCACCCTCGACGCAGCGCGGGTGGTAGTGCAACTTGTTCGCCTGGTCGGGGTTTAACTCGCAGTTCGCCCTTCTCGACGCGACCCCCGCGGCCGGCCGCCCGGCAGCGACGCGCCCTTTTCGAGCGTGACCGCGCGCGGGCGATAATAAAGTACCCCCCTCTCCCTCCCCCCGGCAATTTTTCCATCCCCGTCCAACTGGGTTTCGCTGTAGAGTGGGGCGCGGATGCATAATTTTATCATACACGGGGAAGTTGCGAATCGAAGTTGTTACCGTATCATGTTGACTAGCAACAACATCAAAAACGCTGAGCATGGCCATGGTGGTCTCGCGATACTAGCTTCCGCAATCGCGGTCGCGTGGCAGGGCTGTGGGATTCTCGCCGGCTCAGTTTGCCCACGTCACGAACGTGCGGCAGGGCCATGGGACTCCAATTTTCTTCGCCGTTCCCGAGCGGGGAACGCGTGGCAGGGCCGTAGGGGCCGGTTGGATTTTGACCGCGCATTCGTTTCGTTGTTCTAGCAAGCAGAGCATTAGAGTTAAGTGAATTACTTTCCTACCCCGGCTCCGCCTAGAAGGGTTCTTACCGTGTATGCTTAAAGGGCTGGGCAGTGGTCCTAGCCCCGGGCGGTTCCCCCAGTATCCGCCCCGCGGTTCCCCCAGCTACGTCCCCTTAGCTTAGCGTTGCTTACCTCATCTTAGTTTAGCTTAGCTTAGCTTAGCTTAGCCTAGCTTAGCCTAGCCTAGCTTAACTTAAGCTTAGCTTAGCTGAGCTTTGCCTAACCTAACTTTTAGCTTATCTTAGCTTAGCTTAGCTCAGCTTAGCTTAGCTTAGCGCAGCGCAGCAATCAGCATATCATATCATACTATATCATATCATCGCATAGAATAGCGCAGCATAGCATAGCGCAGCAACGCATATCATGTCATAACGCAGCATACCATAGCATACAACAACATAACATAGCACATCATATCATCGCATAGTGTGCTTAGCTTAGCATCGCGCATCGCATCATAGCATATCATATCATCGCATAACACCGCATACCAAAGCGCAGCATATCATACCATAACATATCATAGCGCAGCGTCGCATATCATATTATAGCATATCATAGCGCAGCATAGCACATCACAGCATAGCATAGCCTAGCGCAGCATATCATAGCATAGCATAGCCAAACATAACATAGTGCAGCATATCACAGCATAGTATATCCTAGCTGTTGATGTTGATGCTGATGTAGATGCAGGTGCAGATGTTCATGTAGCTGCCGGTGTAGATGTAGATGTTGCTTTCCTAGATGCTCCAACTCCTAGGTAGGGTCGCACTGGGGTATTTTCGTTGCGTGCTCCTCGCGCAGTTCGTGGCCCTTCCTCCTCCTCTTCCTCCCCCTCCTCCTCTTCCTCCTCCCCCTCCTCCTCCTCCTCTGCCCCCGCAGCTGCCCGGGCCCGAGCGCCCCCGAGTCTCCGAGACTCCGCGGCTTCGAGTCTCTTCGAGGCGCCGAGCCTCTTCGCCCCAGGGGCAGCGATGGGGGGGGGAAAGGCGTGCCGAACTTGCCCGGGAACGTGCGGATTCACGATCGGGCGCGCGTCGCCGATGCATCGGCGATGTATCGCCGATTCCAGGTCGATGTCCCCCGCCTTCCAACGCCTATCCCCCCGCGTCGTTGCCCATGAGTGCGTCGCGAGCCCCGGCGATGTCCCAGCCCGCAGAGCGCGCCGCGGCGGCGAGCGCCCCCGTCGAAGCCCCCAGGAACGTTGCGACCCCGAGCCCGAGCTCGAACGAGATTCTCGAGCGCATGGCCAAGCAGAACGAGAGAATCCTCGACGAGCTGGCCTTCGTCGCGGACAAGTGCGCGATCGCCTAGATGCGCCTGTGCCAGTCGAGCGCGCAAGGCGCGGATGCAGCGAGGATGGCGAGCTGCTATTTCAAGGCCGAGAGCGCTTTGTGGTCAAGCAGCGCCCAGCAAGCCGTGCTCGACATGGCGTGCAACGGCGGGTCCTGCAGGACCATCGAGTGCGGCCGCATCTTCAACGAGAAGGGCGCGGGGCGCATCGAGCTGGCCGTGGCGGTGTTCTACAAGACCTGCTGCGAGAAGGACGAGCACGTGCGCGACATCTTCGAGAACCGCGGAGAGCCGCCCGAGGACTTCTTCTGGCTGATGCCGAGCTTCAGTGCCACGCTGCAGGAGCTCGCCAAGAAGAGACATGGAGCTCGGCGCCGAGAACGTCAAGAAGCTCGCCCACGGCTCCTACGCCGAGCCCACTGGCTATGCCCTCCCAAGCATCCCCGCCAGGCTCCTCCACCTCCACGAGCTAGTGCTGCCGACCAACGAGAAGTTCGAGCCCGTCGAGCACTTGGGCGAGGGGCCTGCCGGCAATGCCGAGCAGCTCTACGCCGCGATTCCGAGCTAAGTCCGAGAGTGCGTCAAGTGGTGCAACGAGATTTCCACGGTCTCGATCGAGACCGACGGGGTCGCCAAGGCCACCGCTCAGACAGCCGACGTGAGCTGCGAGCTGTAGGATCGGAGCTACCAGGACAAACGCGCCAAGCGGGACTATTCGAAAACCGCCAAGCAGCAGGAGCACGAGACAATGCCTCTCGAGAACCACATCAAGTTGAATTTCGTGAAGTTTGACAATCTCTTCATGAACAAGCGCGATGACGCGAGGAGCCAGGCCGACGCGAAGGCCGAGCCAGAGCGCGCCTCGCTCATGCGCGTGGGCGCCTGAGAGCCTGGCGCGCGAGCTCCCCGGACCAAGCGCCCCATGCTTTTCGCTGCGAGGGTGCCGTTTCAAGGCGCGCGCTCGAGTCCCATCTGCATTTCAAGCTCCAAGAGAGCGCTCGAGCACGCGCGAGTGGCGCTCCATGCTGCGGGGTGCTACCCCCCTCTCGCCGAGTGTTCCTCGACCAGGCGCCGAGGAATCTAGCGTGCTCGATCCTCCATCCTCGGATCTTGGTCTTGAGCATCTGCGAGCACTTCGGATCCTAGATCCGAGGGTCGCCGAGCTTGGACTCGAAGATCTCGGGTTCGCGATCGCACTGCCATCGAGCATGCTCGATCCTTCATCCTCGGATCGAGGATCCGAGATCTTGGTCTTTAGCATCTGCGAGTACCTCGGATCCTAGATCCGAGGGTCGCCAAGCTTGGACTCGAAGATCTCGTGTTCGACATCCGAGGCTCGAGGACCGAGCCTCGGCGATCGTAGATCGCCCCTCTCGCCGTCCTCGGGCCCGCATTGCCGCCGAGCAGGCTCGATCCTCCATCCTGGGATAGAGGGTCCGAGATCTTGGTTTTGAGCATCTGCGAGCACCTCGGATCCTAGATCCGAGGGTCGCCAAGCTTGGACTTGAAGATCTCGGGCTCGACGTCCGAAGCTCGAGGACCGAGCCTCGGCGATGGTAGATCGCTCCTCTGGTCGTCCTCGGGCCCTTGCTGCCAGCGAGCAGGCTCGACCCTCCATCCTCGGATCGAGGGTCCGGGATCTTGGTCTTGAGCATCTGCGAGCACCTCGGATCCTAGATCCGAGGGTCGCCAAGCTTGGACTGGAAGATCTCGGGCTCGACGTCCGAGGCTCGAGGACCGAGCCTCGGCGATGGTAGATCGCTCCTCTGGTCGTCCTCGGGCCCACGCTGCCGCCGAGCAGGCTCGATCCTCCATCTTCGGATCTTGGATCCGAGATCTTGGTCTTGAGCGTCCGCGAGCACCCCGGGTCCTAGATCCGAGGATCGCCAAGTTTGGATTCCAGGATCTCGGGCCCTCGATCCCGGGGTCGAGGACTGAGCCTCGGCGCCTGGCGGTCGCGCGCGCGCGCGCAAACGCACCAGCGCGCGCGCGCGCATACTCGCACACTCGCACACTCACGCACCCTCGCACGCCCCAACGCCCCCACGCACGCACTAACACACGCTACCGCACACTCACACACGCAAGAGCACAAACGCAACCAACAGCAGCCACGACAGCAACAACAGCCAGCAATATAGCAGCAGCAGCAGGGCATACCAGCACCAAAACATAGAACAAGGGAACACACAACAGCTTTGCAACCAACAATGAGC